GACTCCCATCACGTCTGCATTGCAACTAACATACCAGAGAGAGGGGAAGGGAGGTGAAAATGCCTTCCTTTTAAGGCCCAGCATAGTGGCTGCTCACGTCCCATTGGCTGGAATCTAGTCACTTGGTCATACTTAGTTGCAAGAGGAGCTAAAAATGTAGTCTTTATTCCAGGCAGCCATCTTCCTAGCTAGAATGTGGGGTTTTGTGACTAAATGAAGAAGGCGAGAAGAGATGTTGGCAGCCATCCAGCACATTCTGCCACAGGTTGCTAGTGGAGAATGCCTTTGGGGCTCACCCCTATCCCCACCCCTCGGAATCCCAAAGGGTTTAGCCAAGTATTCCTTCCAACCCAAAGCATTTGGCCTCTAGATCATCCAGGGAGGCCACTCACTAGTCAGCCCACTCCACGTGCGCTCCCATCTCCACAGCAGGCACATGAACGGGTGTGTAGAAAAGGGGTTCATCCCTAAGAACAGTGATATGGGCTAGGAGGGCTTGGACTTTGGGGGAAGGCTTGGGGGAGTGGGAACATTTTGCTATCCATTTATTCAACAAGCCATCAGCACCTACCCTGTACTAGGCAGTGCTGGGGACACAATAGGGACTGAGACAGCCCTGGCCTCTTCTTCTCATCCTTGCACTCGCAGTCCAGGGAGGGAGACAGACTGATTCCCAGATAATGATGACCCAGAGTTGGCAGGGCTGGATGGAACCCACAGGACTGTGGGAGCCCAGAAAGCACTTGGCCCCTTTGAGGAGTCTGGGAGGACTTCCTGGAGGAGGGAGAATTCCCCAGTAAACAACATAGAGTTGATCTCTCCCACCATGGAATTCTCAGTCCATCATGGGAGACAGACACTAAATGAACAATTCCATCAGAAAGTTTATCTGCAGGAGCAACATTCAAAATTATATTTGAAGCAAAATAGAAGTCAGTCGATAGGGCCGGGCGCGGTGGCTCACGCCTGTAATCCCAGCACTTTGGGAGGCCGAGGCAGGCGGATCACTTGACGCCAGGAGTTTGAGACCAGTCTGTCCAACATGGCAAAACCCATCTCTGATAAAAACACAAAAAATTAAGCCAGGTATGGTGGCACACACCTACCTGTATTTCCAGGTACTTGAGAGACTGAGGCAGAAGAATTGCTTTGACCCAGGAGGCAGAGGTTGCAGTGAGCCGAGATTGCGGCACTGCATTCCAGCCTGGGCAACAGAGCGAGACGCCACCTCAAAAAAATAAAAAATAAAAAAAATAGTGAAGGGAGCCAGTTCACTGGGCATTCTTGATGTGCCAGACACTGAATGATTTCCCAGCAGCCCAAGAAGCGGCAGCTCTGAGCAGCAACCCATTGCACAGGTGGGGAAACTGAGGCTCAGAGAGGTGACGTCAATGGCCTGTGGTCATGTGATGAGCAAAGGACTGAGCAAAGGTCGTATGACGACTCATTGATCCTGGGGCCTCTCTACTTCGGTGCCGCCTCTCCAGCCCGGCAACATCTCCATGGTACAATGTAAAGGTGGGTATCGCGCTTAGAACCCCGCTTCTGCACAGAGGGGTTTTTACTCCCCTCCCAGAGAATTTATGGACCGCTGAGGTTCATCCATCTGTATTTCTGTGATTTGAAGGCTAATTTTTTTTTTTTTTTTTTGAGATGGCTTGCTCTGTCACTGAGGCTGGAGGAGTGAAGTGGTGTGATCTCAGCTCACTACAACCTCTGCCAACCGGGTTCAAGCGAGTCTCCTGCCTCAGCCTCCTGCGTAGCTGGGATTACAGGCACGCGCCAACACGCCCGGCTAATTTTTGTATTTTTAGTAGAGACAGGGTTTCACCATGTTGGCCAGGCTGGTCTCGAATTCCTGACCTCAGGTGATCCACCTGCCTCGGCCTCTCGAAGTGCTGGGATTGCAGGCATGAGCCACCGTGGCTGGCCTGAAGGCTAATTCTTCTAACGGCCTAGCTCCACACCTTTGCCTATGCCATTTTCAGCCCGAAGCGCCCTTTCTAAAGAGAGAGGTTGCAGGAACTCATGCTCGGTGGTGCAGGCTCTGCAGCCAGAACTCCCTGGATCAAATCCCTCTGCCATCCATTATGCCCCTGAGTCCCTGCAAAAAAGTAACTTTCTGTTTCCCCATCTGTGCAATGAGGTCATAGCAGAACCTACCTCATAGGCTGACTGTGAGGAGTAAGTGAGTTAATCTGTGCTAAATGCCTACAACAATGCCTGACAAGCAGCAAGTAAATGTTAGCCCTGGCCAGGTGCTATGGCTCACATCTGTAATCCCAGCAGTTTGGGAGGCTGAAGTGAGAGGATTGCTTGAGCTCAGGAGTTCGAGACCAGCCTGGGCAACATGATGAGACCCCCCCCCTCCCCCGCCATCTCAGCAAAGAATTTAAAAATTAGCCAAGCCTGGTGATGTGCGCCCATAGTCCCAGGCACACAGGAGGCTGATATGGAAAGATCCCTTGAGCCCGGGAGGTTGAGGCTGCAGTGAGCTGTAACCTTGCCACTGCACTCCAGCCTGGGGGACATAGCAAGACCCTGTCTCAAAAAGAAAAAAATAATAGCCCTGTTTGTTTCAAAGGACTTGATTTCTTTGAGCCTTCCTTTTCTCATCAAAATGGGAATAAGGCCAGGCACAGTGGCTTACACCTTTAACCCCAGCACTTTGGGAGGACAAGGTGGGTAGATCACTTGAGCCCAGGAGTTCAAGACCAGACTGGGCAACAAGGTGAGACCCCATCTCTACAAAAAATAGCTGGGCGTAGTGGTGCACGTCTGTAATCCCAACTACTCTGAAGAAACCTTTGAGCCCAGGAAGTGGAGGTTGCAGTAAGCTATGATTGCACCACTGCACTCCAGCCTGGGTGACAGAACAAGACCCTGTCTCAAAAAAAAGAAAGAAAGAAAGAAAAAAGGAATAATCATAATTACATCATAGGATTATTGTGAGGATTAAATGAATACATCCAGTGGCTTTCATAAGAAATGCTTTTCACATCATGCCCAGTATATCCCACAACTAACCAAAAGGAAAGTGTAACGACAGTTATTACTATGAGCAATGCTCTCTGATGTTTTCTATAATATTTCTTTCCATGTTTTAAATGTTGATCACAGTCTACTAAATGATTTAGACACCTGGGCATGGGTCTTGCTTGCAGTATAACAAGCCATGGATTAACATGTGTGCTTGGCTCATGGTAAGAGCCCAATCCATGGCCAGGTATGGTGGCTCATGCCTGTAATCCCAGCACCTTGGGAGGCCGAGGCGAGTGGATCACCTGAGGTCAGAAGTTCAAGACCAGCCTGGCCAACATGGCGAAACCCCATCCCTACTAAAAACACTAAAATTAGCTGGATGTGGTGGCGGATGCCTATAATCCAGCTATAGGGAGGCAGAGGCAGGGGAATTGCTTGAACCCGGGGGGCAGAGGTTGCAGTGAGCCGAGATCACGCCACTTCACTCTAGCCTGGATGAAAAAGCAAAACTCCATTTCGAGAAAAAAAAACAAAAAACAAAAAAAACCAGACCAATCCAGGTGGCTATTACACTGCCTCTTGTTCGTACACCTAGTGGGCTCTTTCTCCTCCTTCAAGGCTTAACTCAGATACCTCCTCCAGGAAGCCTTCCGTGAGCTCTCTGGTTGTGCTAAAGTTCTTGTCACTCAGAACATAGCATTGAAATCAGAAATCAGCTCTAAGTGGAAGTTCCCAGTACGGTCTGGGAATTCAAATCCCAGATGTGTCCCTACTTAACCACGAACCCTGGCCCTAATGACCCCCAAACCTCAGAGCCTTTCACCTGAAAAATGCGGACAAGAAGTGGGGACCTCTTGGGTCACCTCCTCACTGGGCTGTTTCCACTCCTGCAAACTTAAAGTCAAGTTCTCACGTGATAGTCAGAGTGAGCCTGTTCAAACCTAAGCCAACTCACGTCCCTCCTCTGTGCAGTCCTCCCATGGGTCCCACCGCACTCAGAGTCAGAAGCAGAGTCCTCACCCTAGCCCAGGAAACCCCAGCATGATCTGCTCCCATTATCTCTCTGACTTCTTCTCCCAGCCCTCTCTCCCTTCCCCTCCTCTCTATGCCCACCTTGGCTCACACCCACCTCAGGGCCTTTTACTTGCTGTTCCCTCTGCCTGGAACATTTTTTTCTTAGGAATCCACATGGCTCCTTCCTCTGCTTCTTCAGGACTCTGCTCAAACATTACCTCCTCAAAGAGGCCCTCCTTGACCCACCTTACCTGAAATGGGCTTACCCAACACCGCAGCCCTGTGCAGTTTTCCTCACAGCACTTACAACCACTATATGTATTTGTCTGTTTGTTGACCCTCTCCTCACTCAATCGTAAGTTTAATGAGGGCAGCGACTGCATCTGTTTAATCAATGCTGAGCCCCCAAGTCCTAGAGTCTTAGAGTCCGAGATTTGGTTCACCCAGATCCAGAGGCGAGGATTCAAAGTCACATAGTCTGTTTGGGAGGTGCAAGAAACTGGAGAGTGAGGAAGTTAGGCAGAGAAGCCAGGAAATAATAAAAGCTGTGTTCCCAAGCTGGTTACTATGGGCAACTGGAGCACAGTCCCATTGGGGAACTCAGGGCCCTGGTGTGGAACGACTCTGCAGAGTCATCCCACATGACAGCGAGGGAGCTGGGGAATTTATACACCAACCTGCCCCGGCATTGTGGAGGGCTGCTCTCTGGTTTGCTCATTCCCCAGCACTTCCAGCCTGCTGCCTCCATGGGCAGAGTAGGCTTTGGCCAGCAGTGAAAGTCCTCAGGCAACGGGATGCAGGTGCTGGCCACTGGAAGTGGGAAGAGCAAGGGGTTGGATTGGGGGCACTGGGCACGGACCAGGCTCTTCAAACACATTCATTGGTGAATTAATGAATGAATGAACACACGAAAGAATGGACATCTCTATGGTGGGCAGAAGAAATGCCCAGCTTTTCTGAGTGGTGTCCACTCTTGTGGCCTTGTTCCCTGTTTGCACAGACAGCCTCCAACTAATGCCACTGAAGACATTCCCAGCCGCTATCCGGGGAGTCATCCAGAGTGAGCTCAACTATTCTGTGATCCTGCAGTGGGTGGTGACAATGGACCCTGAGCCCGTGCTGAGCTGGACCTTCAATGGGGTGCCCTGTGGGATGGGAGAGAAGCTGTTCATCCGACGGTTGTCCTGGGAACAGCTGGGCACCTACATGTGCATAGCCACGAATAGCAAGAAACAGCTGGTCTCTGAGCCTGTGACCATCTCGCTGCCAGGTGAGTCCCCCATCCCATGCCACCCCACCCAAGAGCCTTGCACCCTCTCCAGCCTGTGGCAGCCTCTCTGATTCCATTGAGCCACCTTCTATGACCAGTCCCCGTGACACCCTTTATAGGCAAAATGTCATTCCAATGTTCCATCCACCTGGCGGACTGTGCATTATTAGGCCCTTCTTTCCTTTTTCTTCTTCTTCCTTCTTCTTCTTCTTCTCTTCTTCTTCTTCTTCTTCTTCCTCCTCCTCCTCCTTCTTCTTCTTCTTCTTCCTCTTCTTCTTCTTCCTTCTTCTTTTTCCTTCTTCTTCTTCCTTTCTTCTTCCTTTCTTCTTCTTCTCCTTCCTTCTTCTTCTTTCTTCTCCTTCTTCTTTCTCCTTCTTCTTTCTCCTTCTTCTTTCTTCTTCTTCCTTCTTCTTCCTTCTTTCTTCTTCTTCTTCTTCCTTCTTTTTCTTCTTCCTTCTTTTTCTTCTTCCTTCTTCTTCTTCCTTTTTCTTCTTTCTTTTCTTCTTCCTCTTCTTCTTCCTTTTCTTCTTCTTCCTCTTCTTCTTCCTCTTCCTCTTTTCTTCTTCTTCTTCTTTTATTCTTTCCTTTTCTTCTTTCTTCTTTTTTCTCCTCCTCCTCCTCTTCCTTCTCCTCCTCTTCTTCTTCTTCATCTTCTTCTTTATTCTTTCTTTCCTTTTCTTCTTTCTTCTTCTTCCTTCTTTCTTCTCCTCCTCCTCCTTTTCCTTCTCTTCCTCCTCCTCTTCTTCTTCTTCATCTTCTTCTTCTTTATTCAGTGGGCTGTGATCACACCACTGCACACCAGCCTGAGTGACAGAGGATGACTGTCTCAAAAAAAAAAAAATTCACCATTGTCATCATCTAAGGAGTGGTTCAAAGCAATGGCTTTGGAATTTGAATCCCTGGCTGTGTGACTCTGACCCAGTGCCTTGACTTCTCTGTGCCTCAGTTTCCTCATCTATAGCACTGGGAAGATAATAGTGCCTACCCCAGAGTGTGGTTGTGAGTATTCAATGAGATAAGCAGGTGAATAGCTTAAAACAATAATGTCTAGCACTATTGAACACTAATGAGTGCTCAATAACCATGAGCCAATATCACTGTTGCAATTAGCATTGTCATTATTAATTGTAGCTATTACCATATGCAGTCAGTATGTGGAGCCCTGGGTGGCAATCAAAATAACAGCAAGTTGTCAAGATCAGAGAAGTATTTTGGGACCCGGTCAAAACTCAGTTCAGTCCCTGTTCCCATGCCTTCCTGGCTGGGTAACTTAGGGCAAGCGACTTCCCCTCTCTGAGCCCCAGTTTCCTCATGTGTATAATGGGGGTAATCCTACATACCTCCGCAGGGTTGTTATAAGGAATGAAAACAAGGGGTGACTGAGTTTGGCAGAACAACTGTCAGGCAGCAGGTGCCTTGAATAGCAGCTGTTATGGTGAATATTGTTTTTAGTGTGTTATTCATGGAGGGACACATGGTGATATGGTTTGGCTGTGTCCCCACCCAAATCTCATCCTGAATTGTAGCTCTTATAATCCCCATGTGTCATGAGAGGGACCCAGTAGGAGGTAAGTGAATCATGGAGTCGAGTTTTTCCCATGCTGTTCTCATGATAGTCTATAAGTCTCACGAGTTCTGATGGTTTTACAAAGGGCAGTTCCCCTGCACACATTCTCTTGCCTGTTGCCATGTAAGATATGCCTTTGCTCCTCCTTCACCTTCTGCCATGATTGTGAGGCCTCCCCAGCCATGTGGAACTGGGAGTCCATTAAGCCTCCTTTTTAATAAAGTATCCAGTCTTGGGTATTTCTTCATAGCAGTATGAAAATGGACTACCATGGCTTGGAGTGAACTAGAGGTATGCAGAGGAACTGGCCAGGAGAAAAGAGAGGGAGGGTATTTGGGGTAGCAAAGAATGCATGAGTCAAGGTTCAGAGCTGGGACATGGAAATGGAAGGGGTGATGGGAATCTCAGCTTGGCTGGGTCCCAGAGAACCACCTCACCTCCCTGGCCAGGGTCCAGTGGGAGCTTCAGGACTGATGGACTGGGGGAAAAAATGTAAATCTTATAGCACCTAGTGACCCTGATATTCATTGAGAAGGACAACACTTCCAAGACCTCCTTTGCTCATTCATCAGCTGCCCGGGAAATGTTTATGAGCACTTGCTGTGTGGCCAGCCCATGTTGGGCAGTGCTGGGAATGCTCTGGTGACCAAGACAGCTGCAGCCCTGCCTTCACAAGACTCACAGTCCTGTGTCCACAGACAGTGATCACCAGAGTGGGCAGGGCTGGGATGGGGGAGCCCAGAGAGCTATGGAACTCAGCCTAGGAGTTAAGGAGGGCTTCCTGGAAGAAGGGACATTTGAGCTGGTACCACAATACATAAGAATTATGCAGGTTGGTCAGGTACAGTGGTTCATTCCTGTAATCTCAGCACTTTGGGAGGTTGAGGCGAGTGGATCACTTGAGGCTAGGAGTTTGAGACCAGGCTGGCCAACATGGTGAAACCCCGAATCTACTAAAAATACCAAAATTAGCTGGGAATGGTGGCACGTGCCTGTAACCCCAGCTACCAGGGGGGCTGAGACACAAGAATTACTGGAACCCAGGAGGTGGAGGTTGCAGTGAGCTAAGATTGTGCCACTGCACTCCAGCCTGGTGACAGAGGGAGACTCTGTCTCAGAAAAAAAAAAGGAATTATGCAAGCCAAGAGAGAGAAATGGCATTCCAGAGAGAGAGAGTGCAGCGTGGACAGGCCTGGAGGCAAGAGAGAAAGAAAGGGATGAGCTTGGAAAAGTGAGTGGAGTCCAGGGTTACATGTCTATAAAGGCAGGGCAATGAGAGAGATGAGGCTGGCCAGGTGGCAGGGCCTCGAAGGCTAAGGTGAGAAACTGACTTCTGCCCCAGGGTGCTGGGGAGACACAGCAGGGTTCTGAGCAGGGGAGGAACAGTGTCAGGTGCGAGCTTTAGAAAGATCCTCCTGGCTTCCATGTGGTAGGAAGGTGGATGGGCGCTGGACTGGGGCAGGAGAGCAGGGAGGAGAGGGGACCAGAGACCTGGAGGATGGAAGAGAAGGATGGATTGAAGAGACACTTGGGAGGGGGAATGGCAGAAGGAGGGGTGCGCAGGGAGGGCGGGCAGATGGCTCCTCCAATCTCACCCCTCCTTGGTCCCCAGAACCCATTGCGCAGCCCACAGAAGCAGAGCCCATGGAGCCGGACCCCACTCTGTCCCTGTCAGGAGGCTCTGCCATCGGGCTCCTTGTGGCTGGGATCCTGGGAGCCGGGACACTGATTGCAGGCGTGTGTTTCACCATCATCCAGAGCCTAAGGTACCTCCATCCCTCACCCCCGTCCACTGGGCAACATCCACTCAACCCTCATGAGACACAGAGCTGGCTCAACAAGGAAACAGAGATGAAACCAACACCCCCATCCGGGAGGGTGATAGGGACCCCTGAGGAGCGCATCTGACTCATTGGTTTCCAAAATGGGATCACAGCAACAAAGAGATAGAAGAGGACACTAGAGCTGGGCTGTCTGGCTTCAAGTCCCAGCTCCATAACTTACTAGCAGTGAGGCTGTGGGCAAGCCACTCCCCTTCTCTGTGCCTCAGTTTGCCCATCTGCAAAATGGGGATGATAATAACAGCATTTGATCCTCTGGGTTGCTATGAGTGAATTTTTCTTTTGCTTTTTTTTTTGAGACGGAGTCTCACTCTGTCGCCCAGGCTGGAGTGCAGTGAAGCGATCTCAGATCACTGCAACCTCTGCTTGCCAGGTTCAAGTGATTCTCCTGCCTCAGCCTCCTGAGTAGCTGGGATTACAGGTGTGCACCACCACACCCGGCTGATTTTTGTATTTTTAGTAGAGACGGGGTTTTGCCATGTTGGTCAGGCTAGTCTCAAACTCCTGACCTCATGATCTGCCTGCCTCAGCCTCCCAAAGTTCTGGGATTACAGGCATGAGCCACCACACCCGTCCAGTGAGCGAATATTTCTAAGAAACTTAAAGCAGTGCCTGGAATGTAGTAAGTACTATGTTCGTCCTCTCTACATATATCTGCAGAGTGACCGCTCTGTGCCAGGCACTGAGGATACCATGGGAAGAAACAGCAGAAAGTCCCTGCCCTCAAGAAATTTATATTCTGGTCGGGGATATCATCAAGAAACACAATGAATGAGTGAAATATAGATAGTGTATTGGATGGGCCAGGTGCAGTGGCTCACATCTGTAATCCCAGCACTTTGGGAGGCCAAGGTGGGCGGATCACTTGAGCCCAGGAGTTTGAGACCAGCCTGGGCAACATGACAAGACATCTTGTCATCTCTCTCAAAAATAAAAAAATTAGCCAGGCATGGTGGCATGTACTTATAGTCCCAGCTACTCAGGAGGCTATGATGGGAGGATCACCGGAGCCCAAGGAAGTCAAGACTGCAGTGAGCTAGGATCAAGCCACTGTACTCCACACTGGGCACAGAGTGAGACCCTGTCTCAAAAAAGTAATAATAATAAATTTTTTTAAAAAGATAGTATGTTGGATGAGTGCTAAGGAGAGGAGTGAGACTGGGAAGCAGGACAAAGATTGTGGAGTGGGGTGGCATTTAACGAGTCAGGGAAGGCCTCCCTGGGACGGTAGCATTTGAGCAAAGGAAGGGAGTGGGGAGCCATGTGAGGGTTTGGAAGAATGGCATATCCAGCAGAGGGAACAGCAAGTGCAAAGGCCCTGAGGCAGGATTGCCTGGCATGTTCAGGAAATAGTGAGGAGCCCAGGGTGGCCACAGTAGTGTGAAGAATGGGCAGAGAAGTAGGATGTCGGTCAGAGAGGGAGTGGGGAGGCAGGGGAAGGCAGCTAGACCCTTGTATAAGGCCTTTCTCCCTCTTTTTGTTTTTGTCATCAGTTGTTCATCTGTATGAAATCATAACTTAGCATTTTCAAGTAACTGTGTGGAATGACCATGTATAAAGAATCAGAAATCACATTAATAGGCATATGAAAAGCAGTCAATACCTCAATTACAGCTACAAGCTCCGCTTTCTAAGCTGAAGTATAGGGCATCTGGAAAACTTTACTTTTCTAGCCAAAATAAGAAGCTTTACCATTACTAGACCCATCTGTAAAACAATGAAAACACTTAGCAGGCTGCAGGTTGTTTACTGTAGGAATTGTAAATGCAAACCGTTCACAGTCTTGCTCAGCTAAGGGGATAGTGAAAAAACAGTCTTTTAAATCTGTAACTATTAAAGGCCAATTTTAAGTCCTCTAAACCCTCCAGTTTCTCTTTACTCAGTGGCCATTGTTCTATCCAAATTGGCTTATCTGTTAACCATTTTAAAGGTATAGGTTCTGGAAGCTTAACAATGACCACCATCAAAAATGATATTCTAATCTTTGGTGGGAACTTTGTCTTTCCATTTGAAGTGGTTCTTTCAAAACTTGCAAGTTTTTTTCTAGCCCCATACTAGGGACATCCCCCATTTCATACATCATATGTTGATTTTGAGGGATATGTAATTGTTCTGGAATTAGAACTTGTGCTCCCCATTGTTGTAACAAATCTCTCCCCCATAAATTTATAGGTACAGAAGTTATAATTGGTTGAATAGTCCCAAGGTGTCCATTGGGCCCTTCACAATGCAAAATATAGCTACTTTGATATACTTCAGGGGCTTCACCAACTCCAACTATGTTAAATTGAGCAGGTTGAAATGGCCATGCGGACAGCCAGTGCCATAGAGAAATGACTGAAATGTCTGCTCCTGTATCTGCCAAACCTTACAATTTCTTGCCCTGAATAGTTATTTCACAGGTAGGACGTTTATCAGTAATTTGATTTACCCAATAAGCTGCTTTGCCTTGTTTATTTGTGCTTCCAAATCCTCCTGTTGGTTTCATTTCACTTTTCCCCATTCCCACATATGGCACAATCAGGAGCTGTGCTATGCGCTCTCCTGGCTCCGCTTTCCAGGGAACAGAAGTAGATATAACAATTTGAATTTCCCCATGGTAATCTAAATCAATGACTCCTGTATGTATTTGTATCCCTTTTAAACTTAAAATAGACCTTCCTAAAAGTAATCCTATCATTCCTGCTGGCAAGGGTCCACAGACTCCTGTTGGGACCTTTTGTGGGGGTTCCCCAGACAGAAGGCTCACAGCTTTTGTGCAGCATAAATCTACTGCGGCACTACCTGCTGTGGCAGGGGACAGACATTGTACAGGGGTGAGGGAATGGCCTGAGCTGGAAATGCCCCAGTTTGGAACGGGGCCCAGGACGGGCCCCTCATGGTGTTTCCTGAAATCGGGTTTCCATCTTTATCAAACTTAGTGTGACATTGATTAGCCCAATGCTTTTCTTTTTTACATTTTGGACATATTTCCGGATCAGCAGTTTTCTTTTTTCCCCTATCTAGCGGCCTGACTTGCTGATTATTTCTACATTTTTTTTTAGCATTAATAGCTTGTTTAAATTATTTGAGTAATTTAATTACTCAAAAAGGAAAAGGTTCAAATGTAGCTATAATATTTCCCTGTTGATCTGGGGGATGTATTCTAACAGGGAACTGCCAAGCCTCTAAATCCCCTTCTCTTCTAGCTTGCTGGATTCCTGCCTAAATAGAACTGACAGCAGTTGCTTGAGACGTTGCTCGAACAGTCACTGGGGCAACTACTTTTTGCCAAGTGTCCTCCGGAAAAGAAAGATCCGGAGGGTCAGGCCACTGCTTAGGGGCAGTTTTGGGGCCAGTTTATGGCCAGATTTTGGGGGGCCTTTTACCAACAGAATCGCTTGAACCTGGGAGGCAGAGGTTGCAGTGAGCTGAAATAGTGCCACTGCACTCCAGCCTGGGCAACAGAGTCTGCTCCTGTATCTACCAAACCTTTCCATTTCTTTCCCTGAATAGTTATTTCACAAGTAAGACGTTTATCAGTAATTTGCTTTACACAATAAGCTGCTTTGCCTTGTTTATTTGTGCTTCCAAATCCTCTAAAAAAAAAAAAAAAGAAAAAAGGAAAAAAAAAAACCCAGGAATATGATTATACTTCCCTCCAAAGACAGGAGTGAAGATTAAGTAAAATGGTGGGAGTCATGAGCTATTAACAGTGCCTGGAATGTGATGAGCCTTCAATAAACCTCAATGATGATGATTGTATTAGTTTGCTCCAGCTGCTGTAACAAAACGCCACAGACTGGGGGGCTTAAACAACAAAAATTTATTTTCTCACAGTTCTGGAGGCCGGAAGTCCAAGATCAAGGTAGCAGCCAATTTTATGTCCCATAGCGACCCTCTCCATGGCTTGTAGAAGGCCACCTTCTCGCTGTGTCTTCACGTGACCTTTTCTCTATGCTCATCCCTGGTGTCTCTTCCTCTTCTTATAGGGACACCAGTCTTATTGGATCAGGATCCCACTCTTACGATCTCATTTAACCTTATTGTGTCTGAAGACTCTATCTCCAAATATAGTCATATTGGAGTGTTAGGAGTACATATTAATTTGGGGAGCAAATAATAATTCAGTTGATGATTCTCATTCTCTCTCTCTTTGTCTCTCTCTCTCTCTCTCCACTGCAGGACTGACAGGCAGAGAATAGGAATATGCAGCTGAAATGTGGGCAACTCTCCTGTCAGCTTAAGAGGTAATACCAGGAAGGGTGTGAAGGAAATCCTAGGTTTGGGAATAGAATGAGGTTCCTGGGCAGAGTCCATTTGTGACTTTCTCCCTCCTGGTTCCCTGATCATTTGTCTGTGAGATGTTCCCCTCCTGTGGAGAGTTCCAGAAGCTGCTTTTCTCTCCTTTTGCCAACTGCCAGCACCCCATCTGCCCAGCTCATCAAATTCCTGGAAGCAACCTAAACAAGCACTCTATATTTCATAAACCTCTTGGGCTCCATGCAAAAGAAACTCACTGAAGTAGCTCAGGAAAAACTAAAATGAACAGTTTCATCTAAGGACCTATGAAATTTTTCAGCAATCCATAGGTGTGACAGTCAGCGTTTGCTTTGTAACAAACTACCTCCCCAAAATTCAGTGGCTTGAAACAACAGTCATTTATTTAGCTTGCAATTTCATGGGTCATCCATTTGGGCTGGGCTCAGCTGGATAGTTCTTCTGGTCTCTGTAGGGCTCGCTCCTTCATCTGGGGTCAGTTGGCAGATTGCCCAGGGGCTGTGTGGACTAAGATAGCCTCATAGCTGGGACAACTGGCCTCTCCTTCATGTTGTCTCTCATCCTCCAGCAGGGTGACCCAAGCTTGTTCACATGGCAGAGAAAGGATTCCAAGAGTAAGAGTAGAAACTGCAATGCCCCTTAAGTCTCAAGCTCAAAAGGGACATGCCATCACTTCTGCCACAGAAAGGACTTCATTGGCCAAAGTCACATGACTGGCCAAATTCAAGGGATGGGGAAGTTGACTCCACCTCTTACTAGGAAGGGAAAAATCTCTGGCCATTTTTGCAATCTACCAAGAAATGTGGAAGTACACACAGTTCTCTCTGCCAGCCTCCCCGACCCACACACTTCACCGCCACCCCAAGTCCTTACAATTTCTTTCCTCCTGCACGTGGAATTCACAGTTCTCTGTCTCTCTCTGCAGATGGGCACTTTGTACTTCTCTATCCACGTGGGAAAAGACCCCATCCCACAGCTTCCAAGTCTACAACATCCAACATCCCTGTTCAAGGGAACAACCCAACTTAACCAGACTCCCTTTGCCCTGTTTCTGAAACACCTGAAGAAAGCATCTGATGGGTTGACTCGGTGCCATCCTTGGTCCCATCGCTGTGACACGTTGTGCAAGCAAAGCATCAGAGGCTCATCCCTGTCTGTGGGAGCTCAGTGCTCAGCAAACAGGGGGGAGGTTTCACCTTGGAAATTGGCCAGACCCCAAAATATGTCTTTTACACATGTTGCTTTTTTTTTCTCTCTTTTTCAAAAAGAACCAAAAACTAAATAAAAATACCACTACTTCTGAGTGGTTTCTCATGAAGCCTCTCTTCCTGAGAGTGGGAGAGGCATGTTTGCAAATAAGATCAACCTTTGAGCTTTGCACTGTTCGAGTTTAATACCTCTCCATATGAGGATCCTGACAGATGGCAGGCACAGGGCACATAAATATGGCTGAAACTCCTCTGGGGGATATATCTCACATTTGAGGAACATTCGGTACTTCTGTGACCAACACAGAACCACCTAACGTGGCATCTGCTTAGCAATAATAGTGGCAGAACTCAGTCTAAGTCTTGTCTGTTGAGGGTTCTCCATGTGCCAGCCACTGACTATTTACCTTACATGATTAATGTGTCATAGCAGGCCAGGCACAGTGGCTCGCACCTGTAATTCTAGCACTTTGGGAGGCCGAGGTGGGTGGATCACCTGAGGTCAGGAGTTCAAGACCAGCCTGGCCAACATGGTGAAGGCTTGTCTGCTAAAAATACAAAAAACTTAGCCAGACGTGGTGGTGCGTGCCTGTAATCTCAGCTAGTTGGGAGACTGAGGCATGAGAATCGCTTGAACGCAGGAGGAAGAGGTTGCAGTGAACCAAGATTGTGCCACTGCGCTTCAACCTGGGCACCAGAGCGACACTTGGCCAAAAATTTAAAAAGTTTAAAAATTGTTTAAACAGCAGCCAGGTGTCCATAGTGATATTTGTCAGGCATTGCACCAAAGAGCTTTAATGCATTACTCTCAGACAGTCCTCCCACCTCAGCCTGCCAAAGTGCTGAGATTTCAGGTCTGAGCCACTATGTCATGCTATGCCATTTTTTGGATGAAGAATCATAAGCCCCAGGAGATACCAATAATAATTGCTGCCATTTGTTAGCAGCTAAATAAATAACTTTTTAAACCATGTAATTTATTTCCTTTTTTTTTTTTTCTGAGACAGGATCTCACTCTCTCGCCCAGACTGGAGTGCAGTGGCACAACCTTGGCTCACCGCAACCTCTACCTCAAGTGATTCGGCCTCCCAAGTAGCTGGGATTCCAGGTGCGCACCACTACCATCCAGCTAATTTTTGTGTTTTTAGTACAGACGGGGTTTCACCATTTTGGCCAGGCTGGTCTTGAACTCCTGACCTCAAATGTGTGGGGGAAAGAAAGAGATCAGACTGTTACTGTGTCTATGCAGGAAAAGGAAGACATAAGAAACTCCATTTTGATCTGTACGAAGAAAAATTCTTCCGCCTTGAGATGCTGTTAATCCGTAACCCTAGCCCCAACCCTGTGCTCACAGAAACATGTGCTGTATTGACTCAAGGTTTAATGGATTTAGGACTGTGCAGGATGTGCTTTGGTAAAAATGTGTTTGCAGGTGGTATGCTTGGTAAAAGTCGCCACCATTCTCCAGTTTCAAGTACCCAGACACAATGCATTGTGGAAGGCTGCAGGGACCTCTGCCCAAGAAAGCCTGGGTATTGTCCAAGGTTTTCCCCCACGGAGACAGCCTGAGATATGGCCTCGTGGGAAGAGAAAGACCTGACCGCCCCCCAGCCCGACACCTGTAAAGGGTTTGTGCTGAGGAGGATTAATGAAAGAGGAAGGCCTCTTTTTCAGTTGAGATTAGAGGAAGGCATCTGTCTCCTGCTCCTCCCTGGGAATGGAATATCTCGATGTAAAACCCGATAGTACATTCTATTTACTGAGATAGGAGAAAACCACTTTATGACTGGAGGTGAGACATGCTGGCAGCAATACTGCTCTTTACTGCACTGAGATGATTGTGTAAAGTCACACATAAATCTGGCCTACGTGCACATCCAGGCACAGCACCTTTCCTTAAACTTATTTATGACACAGAGTCCTTTGCTCACATGCTTTCCTGCTGACCCCCTCCCCACCATTACCCTATAGTCCTGCCACATGCCCCTCGCCAAGATAGTAGGGAAAGTGATCAATAAATACTGAGGGAACTCAGAGACCAGTGCCGGTGCAGGTCCTCACTTGCTGAGCGCCGGTCCCCTGGGCCCACTTTTCTTCCTCTATACTTTGTCTCTGTGCCTTATTTCTTTTCTCAGTCTCTCATCTCCACCTTGGAAGAAATACCCACAGGGGTGGAGGGGCAGGCCCCCTTCAAAATGATCCACCCACCTCAGCCTCCCAAAGTGCTGGGATTACAGGCATGAGCCACCACGCCCAGCCACATATAACTTGTTTCTAAATAACTTATTTAACTAACACCACATGTTTTCACGAGCCCGTATTTTGTGGATGAGAAAAAAGAGGCAAGAGAAGCGATACCGGTTGCTTAGGATTCCCAGCTACCAATTGGTGGAAGCAGAATTTGAACCAAGGGAGTCTCTGGAGCCCTCGTTCCCCATCTCCTCTTCTTGCTCTCCATGTCTTTCTCTCTTTCTCCCCCTGCTCCCAGGCCTCCTACATCACACCCTTCTGGACAAAGCTTCACATTTGACATTTTCTTTTTTGGGGTGGACAGTCTCACCCTGTCACCCAGGCTGGAGTGCAGTGGTGCAATCATGGCTCACTGCAGCCTCAAACTCCGGGGCTTGAGCGATCCTCCAGCCTCAGCCTCCCAAGTAGCTGTAGCTGGGACTATGGGCATGTGCCACCACGCCTGGCTAATATTTTTAATTTTTTGTAGAGATACAGGGGGTGGGGGCATATCTGAAATTTTTAAACCTTCCCCAACTGCCATGAGCATTCCTGGGTAGAAGCCACTCCACGCCCTTACTTTGCTGGCATGGTTGCTGGACGGCAATTTGGCAATATCCTCTAGACCACAAATGTGCATGCCCTGTGGCCCAGGAAATCAGCTTCTGGGAATAAATATGACAGATACTGTCACATACATGGGAAATGCCATGGACATGATGACCCAGGGAAGCACAGTTTGCAAGTACAAAAGGGCTGGAAACACCCAAAAAAGTCCATCCCCTGAAGACAGTTTCAACAATGATGGTGCATTCATGTAATGGAATACTACACATCTGTGAATGAATGAATGAATGAATGAGGTAGCTCAATATATCTGCCTTTGGGAAAATAACAAGATATGTTGCTAAGTGAAAAACAGAAAGAGAACAATGCCACCATTTTATTTTTTAATGGGAGAGGGAAGAATAAGGAAATGGATTCATATTTGCTTAATTACACAAGTTTCTTGATGATCCTTTTGGATCCAGAAGTTTGAAAACCACAGCATCAAGAGGATGCCCATTGGGTGTTGTGGCCCACGCCTGTAATCCCAGCACTTCAGGAGGCTGAGGAGGGTGGATCACCTAAGCTCAGGAGTTCGAGAACAGCCTGGCCAACATGGTGAAACTCCGTCTCTACTAAAAAACAAAAAAAAATTAGCTGGGTATGGTGGTGCAGGTCTGTAAACCCAGCTACTTGGGAGGCTGAGGCGCAAGAATCACTTGACCTGGATGCGGAGGCTGCTGTGAGCTGAGATCACGCCACTGTACTCCAGCCTGGGAGACAGAGCGAGACTCTGTCTCAAAACAAACAAACTAACAAACACACAAAAAATAGGATGCCCATTGGAGATCTCCATTCACTATCTTTTCAGATGATATTTCAGCACTTGAGTGAAGAAAATGTCTCGTCCAAACACTCAAGGAATTTAGACTCTTGACAGAGAAACACAGAAGCAAGCAGATATGCCCCAAATCAAACTTGCTTTTTCTTCAAAGCCTGCTTCTTCAGAGCAGCCTCTGACCCTCCAGGGCCCTGAGAGGAGGCCCTGGAGATAGGAACTGGGGAGCCCAGAGAGGTAGGGGAACCCCAGATGGTGATGGCATCGTCCAGAGAAGGAACATAACAATGGCCACAGATTCCCAATTTGGAAATAACTCAGCAGAACAAGAGTCACAGAAAATTCAGAGATTTCCAAGAGACCAGCCTCCATGTTTCCATTTAGAAATTCACCTACATACATCCAGGGTGAGAGACCCCAAGCATCAGATGTGTCATACACAAGCATCAGATCTAAGTTAGAGAGGGCACCCGGGGAAAGAAAGCTTCAAGCCAGCCAAAAGCCAAAGGAGAGATTTTACAAAAAGATACAGGAATGTGGGACCGGGCACAGTGGCTCATGCCTGTAATCCCAGCACTTTGGGAGGCCAAGGTGGGAGGACCGCTTGAGGCCAGGAATTCAGGATGAGCCTGAGCAACATAGCAAGACCCTGTCTCTACAACAAATTTAAAAACTAGCTGGGCGTGATCGCATATGCCCATGGTCCCAACTACCCAGGAGGCTGAGGGAATTGAGCCCAGGAGGTGGAGGCCGCAATGAGCAATGATGGCGCCACTGCACTCCAGCCTCAGTGAAATAGTGAGACCCTGTCTAAAAAAAAACAAAAATAAAAAGGATATAAGGATGTCAGAGAACAGGGACCAGAGCTGTTAGTCAGCCTCATGGAGACCCTGGCCAGGACAGACACCTCTGGGGACCAGGAAGTCTCTTGGGTTCTCTCTCTTAGGGTTTGACTTTCTGAGTCTCTCTGTCACCTCTCATTTCAATCTCATCTCGCTCTGTCTATGCTGTGTCTCTATCTCTTTCAATCTCTCTCTGTCTCTGTCTCCCAGCCCTTATCTCTGAGTGTGTCTCTCTGTTTCTATTTCTCTCTCTCTCTCCCCCTCCCTTCCTCCCTCCCTCCTCGCCTCTCCCTACTGCAGGTTGGTCTATAACCCTTATCTCCCCCAGACCTGCTGGAGTTCTGGTATTAATCTGTTTATGGTCTGTTTCCCTCCACTAGAACACGGTCTTCATTAAAGGCAGAGATTTTTGTCTGTCTTATTTTCTGCTGTATCCCCAGCGCCTGGGATACTGACTGGCTCAATAAATATATGTTGAGTGAAGAATGAATGAATTACCATTCTCATGAACATTATTATTTGATGGCAACTGTAAAGCAACAATAACAATAATTGTCACTGCCACTGCTGCTATTGTTGGTATATCTGCTTTTTATTTATTACATACTATATCCCCGAAATTGAGCTAACCAGTTCCTTGTTTAAGCTTTACAGACCATGCTGTATGCCCTTTTTTCTTTCTTTTCTTTTTTTTTTTTTTGACAGAGTCTCGCTCTGTCACCCAGGCTGGAGTGCAGAGGCCTGATCTTGGCTCACTGCAACCTCCACCTCCCAGGTTCAAGTGATTTTCCTGTCTCAGACTCCCTAGTGGCTGGGATTATAGGCATGTGCCACCATGCCAGCTAATTTTTGTATTTTTAGTAAAGATGGGTTTGTGTCATGTTGGCCAGGCTGGCCTTGAACTCCTGACCTCAGCTGATCCTCCTGCCTTGGCCTCCCAAAGTGCTGGGATTACAGGGGTCAGCCACTGTGCCTGCGCCCCAGCCCCCAACCTTTTTGTTTTGTTTTGTTTTGTTTATTTGTTTTTGAGACAGGTCTGGCTCTGTCACCCAAGCTGTAGTGCGGTGGCGCGAGGGTGGCTCACCGCAGCCTCTAACTCCTGGGCTCACACAGTCCTTCCGCCTCAGCCTCCCAAATTGCTGAGCCACCGCGCCCTACTATGCCCATTTTTCAGATAAAGAATCTGAGGGCCCTTGAGGAGAAACCACTTGCTCAACATGAGCCCAGGTCTTGTCTGACCCCAAAGCCCATGGGTTTAGGCTGGGTGGAAGGACAGCCTGGCGGGCTCAGGATCTGTCCCACCACGAGTTGAAACCTCAGCTCTGCCACTCGGCAACCGCGAGTCGTTAGTAAGCTGCTGAATCTCTCCGCGTGCCTCCGTTTCCTCACCTGGGATGTGGGCGTCCTCACACTGGAAGCCGCCTCTTCTAGAGCGCGCTGAGGGAGCGAGCGCGCGTCTGTAGCGGGACTGAGCGCCTGGAGAGACCTGCGCAGGCGCAGGCGCGCCGGGACGTGGGGGGGCGCAGCCTGGGTGACGCCCCCGCGCCTGAGGGGACTCGCCGCCAACTCCCCTCGGCTCACTGGTCTGGAATTTGAAGAAGTGGGTATTCCCCTTCCCACCCCAGGCACTGACGGAGCGGCCCCCCGGGGATTCCGGGACCTGAGCTCCGGGGGCTGGACTCGCAGCGGCCGCGGCAGAGCGAGCGGCGCCGGGAAGCGAGAAGGAGGCGTCCGCCCGAGGCCCAGCTGTCCGGAGCAACTGGCATGGCCCGAACCATGGCCGCCGCATGGCCTCCGCTGCTGCTGGCGCTACTGGTGCTGTCCTGGCCACCCCTAGGAACCGGTGAGTGACCCCCGCGCGGGCCGGCGGCCCCTCTCTCGCTTCCAGCTCCGGATCCAAGCCGGGTACTTGGCCCCCTGGGTCCCCGAAGATGACGGCGCCGCCCGGCGCCACCCACCCCCAATCTCTGCCCCGGGGTTTGAAGGAACACGGGGCGAGGGCAGGACCCTCCTCGTAGCCATCCGGAGAGCGGTCGGAGTTGGGTTTAGAACTTCCTCGAAATTGGCAGCAACACAGGGTGGGCACAAGACCCTCCTCTGGGCCCCTCGGAAAGGGGATGGAGTTGGGTGCGGACATTTCCCAAAAAGGCAAGAGAATCTCGGAAAATCATGCGGGATTACCTTATCCAGGTTCCTGCTCAGCACACCAGGCCCATTAAAACCCAGCAGCCTTGCTGGCGGACTGGGTCTGGACGCGAGAAGCATGTTTGAAGGTTGGGCGAGCGGACAGTGGGTGACACTTGACCATCCGTACCCCTCTGACCCAATGTCTTGACTCCAAGGGAACTGGCCATTCATTCTTTTTTTTTTTTTTTTTTTTTTTTTAATTTTGAGGACTGTCCACTCCATCATCCCAGGCTGGAGTGCAATGTTCCTGAATCCTTGTCTTCATTGCTGCCTCCTCCCTCCCGTGTCAAGGGATTCTCCTGCTTCAGCCTCCCGAGGAGCTCGGATACAGACATGTGCCCACCAGTGGCCTGGCTAATAATTTTGTATTTTTAGAACGGAGACAGGATTCCACCATAGTTCGCCAGGCTTGGTCTCCCTGATTAATATTATAAATATATTATATTACTATACTTTATTAATATATTTAATATTAATTAATATTATTATATATATACAATAATATATAATTTTATATTATTATGTATAATAAATAATATATTATGATTCATATGCTACAATATAGTTCTTAGTAAATTATTAAATAAAATCATTATTACAATACATGTTATCTATATAATAAAATATATCATTGGTACATTTAATGAGTAAATTAAATAATATATATTTTATGTAATTTATTATATTTTGTGTGTGTGTATATATTATGATTATTGTGTAATGTGTGTGTATGGAAGAGGAGAGACAAGTCTTCTCTGTTGCCCAGGCTGGAGTGCAGTGGCACAATCCGGGCTCACTGCAAACCTGGACTTCCCAGGCTCAAGTGATCTCGCACTCACTGTGGCTTCTGGAGTAGCTGGGATTATAGGTGCTCACCACCACACCTGGCTAATTTTTTTGTATTTTTGGTAGAGATAGGGTTTCTCTATGCTGCCCAGGCTGATTGCAGCCAAGCACAGTGGCTCATGCCTGTAATCCCAACACTTTGGGAGGCTGAGGTGGGAGGATCACTTGAGCTTAGGAATTCAAAACCAGCCTGGGCAACATGGCAAGACCCCATCACTACAAAAATAATTAGCTAAATAAAAATTTAAAAATAAAAAAGAAACCTCCACTGAGGCCCATGCGAAGCTTGCTACTATGGCTTCCTGTGGGGTCCAGGTGAGCGCTGCTGGCTCGGCTAATGAAACTCCCAAAATACCGGACAACGTGGGAGATTGGCTTTGGGGCGTATACCGCTTTGCCACTGATAGGAATGACTTCTGGAGGAACTTGATACTAAATTTGGGACTCTTTGCTGCCGGAGTTTGGCTGGCCAGGAACTGGAGTGACATCGACCTCATGGCACCTCAGCCGGGGGTATAGCCAAGTAGACAAATGGAATCCTGTGCTGAACCCGAATCTTCCAAAAAACAGCCTACAATCTGTGACCACCAGAAGATGTGCCCTGATAGCGGCTGAAGTTTTATTCAGATGGGCACTTTTCTTCCCTCTCCCTGCCTAGTTTCCTTTT